AACTTTGTGTCCATCTCCTGCACAGCCAGAACATAAAACTTCAAAAACTCCATGCTGCAATCAATCAAGCTCAGAGGACACAGCCACAGCTCTTGGCACTCCAGCTGGTTGTGCTCCCACTGCATTTGCTGCATACTAGCAAAGTATGACAACTCACATGAGAAAAGTGCTGAGTAAACTGTCTTTGCATATACACAGAACAGTTTCTATGATGCTGTGAGTAAGGGAAAAGAGAGTTTAGGTTTCTGGAGGTTTTTTCATTTGCATTTCTTACATTGGTTGAAAGCTTGGTTTGGAGGTCAGGTGTTGTCGCTTAAATTGGCCAGTTGTTTTACTTTGTGTTTATTCCTTGTATTTTCCAAATAACTTATGAATAATTGTGAAGCTGATCTAAAGTGATGATTTGTCAAAACATAATCATATAACACAACACAGGCCAGGTTTTAATTGTGCTTTAACTGGAGCCCTTGCAGCCTTAAAAAAATAAAGCAGAGATTTTTTTCACTTGCAACCATGAGCTGCAGACATAAGTGGCCCTGTGATGAGCTATCAGTGGGGAAGGCCCACCAGATGGGAAGAACAGAAATTTTGTTTATTTCTGCAATCAAGCCAAAGTGAGCTGAAAATCCTGAATGAAAAACTTTCCACAGAACTTTTACACAAAGATCAGAGACTTTTTCTTGGGATGTACCACTTGGGAATTTGTGATCCTTGTTTCTACCACAGTTGTATAATTTTAACATCCCACAGAGCTGACAGACTTTGACACTAACAACTGTGCAGGGAGTAAAACAGATTTACAAGTGGCAGTGACCTTTTCATCAAGGGAAGTAAAGTAGACTCAAATCCACCATACCCCCGACTCACAGTCCTGACAACATCATTCAACATACAGTAGGAAAAGCACTTCAGCAAAAGTTTATGAAAGTGACATTGACACAGCACAGGACATTAAATTGATCCCACCAACATGCTGGGAGTTTTAGATAGCGCTTCTTTCTTTTTTTTTTATTGAGATTTGAAGCATCTTCTGCTTTAATAGTTTAATCTGTTACTCAGGCAATTAAAATAAACTAGCACCTTTTTAATTACAAACATATACATATTTTGACCATCCTTGTAGTCAGGGACTACAAGGTAAAGAATGGTAAATAAAAATTATATTAATCCATAACTGAATGTTCCTACCAGCATTTCTTTGCATTCTTCTCAGACACCCATAACACTGTGCTGCCTGGACAGGACTCATTCACTGTCTTAGATCTTGTTACCCTAGCAACTAATAGCCAAGCTGGCTTCAAAAATCATAATAGAGGTGGCCTCTCTGATTTTTAAAGGAAATTGGCTATTTTAAACCCAGTGAATGCATGTTTTAATTGCACTCTTCATGGCTGAGAATCTCTCCCTCAGCGTTTCTTCACAGTTAATAACAGTTTTAGTCATCTATATGGTTCAATGTGTAGATACAGTAAAGCAAAACTCCTCCTGACAGACATTTGAAGCATAGTTGATTCATTTCTTGGCACCTAAAAACCAAAAATTACATCTGCATTTGTTAATGCAGAATCTCTGCAATTTCATTATGTTTTAAAATAAGGCTATTATTTTAAATTTCTCTGAGAGTAAGAATAGTTGACTAAGGAACATTATACAAGCCCAGTTTAGAAAGGCACTCCATCTTCAGAAGAAAGAAAATTGTTGGACAAATTTATGGTAAAGCAAATTTTTCCTATTGATCAAGCCCTCGAGGGGCATTAACAACACTTAAGGGACCAAAGTGCAGAAGATGGCAGAGCTGACACAGAGAGAGTCAGCAAGAGAGCTGAGCAGGGCTGGAAGGAAATGGAACACTTTAACATTACATCCTGGTCATACCAAGGTCCATTGACCCTCTATGCATTCCAGATAATTAATTTACAACACATTAAACCTGTGTGTGAAGAAGGATGTTATGCATCAATTGCATAGGAATAAGAAGTGTTATTGATTTAAGATTTCTATTGTATCATGCGCTGACAGAAAGAAACAACCTGGTGGTGTTTTAAAGACAAAAAAAACCCTTTTCTGAAGGACAAGTTTGCTAAATAAGTGCACTTTACACTACATTTAACTGAAGTATTGTTGACACCCGAAAATAAATGCCGTTAGGAAAGAAACCCTCAGCATAATTAGGAGACTATGGCGTGACTGGATAATATTGGCATTCACTCTAGGAAACAAATACTTTGAGGTGATAATGCTCTCTTTTACATTAAGAGTTTAAAACAGAAAAACACATTGACAAATATTATTTAATGAATAAAATATGAGTGAACCAGTTCCATTAATACACGATGATGTCTAATGAGATTCAAGCTCATTTTCCTCATGGAATCATTTTGCACTTCACATGTAAAAGGAGACTTGCAGAATAGTAAAGTTTGATTCATGAACATCAGAACCAATTTCATTTACAGAGGTTTTATTTTCTATAAGTTACAATTTTCAGATGACAGATCAGAAAATTCAGAAGTTCTGGTTAAAGTTTTGTACTGCTTAGAATTTCTTACTGCAGTTTAACTTCCCAGGAACATAGGATGCAAAGAAAATCTGCCCTGTGCCACTCACAACTTTCAGCAACTATTTAATGCTCATTTAAAACTTACAGTGGTTAGGAGATATGAATCAGGCTACATGTAAAATACTCCCATGCAAAAAAACCCAAGAAATTCAATTTCAAGCAAGCAATAGAAAAGGAGAGAAAAATCACAGAGAAGCCTTTAACTGATCTGAACTGCAATAAACCTCACAATATGAAGGGAAGGGTTAGCTTCCTGGTAGAATGCTGGATAGTTCTTTGGATTTGGTATAAAACACTCAGAGAGTGTATCAAATCACATGGAAAGAGTGTACCAAAGATCTAAAATAAAGCCTGGGATTTTGCAAGCAAGCAAAGCTATTCCAGCCAAATGGAAAACAATATGAGAGCATCCCAAACATAGCGGAGAAGTCAAAGCATCACAGGACTCAAATAGAAAAGTGTGAAGAATCTGAGCTATAAAAGCAGGAGAGTGCCCAAATAACTGCAGATGAACTTGGGCACAGTGGCCAATAGTATGTAATATGAAAATCTGTGATTATGTGTAAGAATAACAATTTACATTTCTCTGCAAAACTTTCTGGACATCTGCAAGTATACACAGTAGTGGTAAAGTGGATGGCAGTGGCAATACTAGATCCAGGATCCCTTTGTAAAACCATGCCACACAGCCCCAAGACACAAAGAAATGATAGCTTGAAAGCAAGCCATGAACACACAATATGATGGCAGCAACACAGAGAACACTGATGCAAGAAAGGCTGCAGCTGTCAGGAGGTAATGAACTGAGAAAATAATTAATTTTAATAATAATAATAATAAATAAATAAATAAACTTTTATTCAGCATTAAAGATGGCTATTTAGGTACTTCTGCAAGAAACATGCAGTAGTTTCTCTCAATAGGACTGTTAAAACTGAAGTCAAGTGCATTATTCATCCTGAGTACTAATAAAACCTTTAATGTCAATGCTCTCAAAGAGTGAAGAGAACCTTTGGCCTTAGTCTACATGTGTAAAAAGTTATGTATCTGATTTATGGAAAGTTTATGTTAACTGAAACTAGCTATAAAATACTGCCATTCCCAAAAAGAATCTGATAAGCACCATTATTACACCGTCTCTTGAAACGACAGATATTATTTCTCAAATACAAATAGTCTATTTTAAAAAAAATTTAAGTAATATTTGTTGCCTGCAGATGCATATAATGGACCCTTTGATACAAGCCCAGTAGAGCAATGTCACTTATCCCTTAAATGACACTTGTATCCATCTGATATTTATTCTCTCTTCAACCATTTCTAGTCACAGACAAGGGTCTCAAATATCAGAAAAAAATCAGAGTATGACCTTAGGTTGCTGTGCTCCTCACTTTCTTGAGGTGCCCCATATGAGCACCCTTCAGCAGGGCTGCAGGCACCTGTCAGTGCCTTTTCAGTGGTGCCAGTGAGCAGCTCTGCAATACCTCACATGTGACTGCTGGCCACAGACTTTCCATGACAAACTGTGCTCTTCCCCAGGCTTAGGATCTAGAACAACAGCCTTGGTAGTTCCCTGATGAAAATAATTATTTCCTAATACCCATGCCAAGATCAGCTGTATACATACTAATAAAATGCAAACTGTGAATTGCAGGAATAAAGGAAATATTATAGGTGTGACTCCTCTATAATATACCTGAATTTTCTTAAAATATAATGTGTTTCCAGGAGTGGTACATGCTAAAGGGGAGGAAGCTCCAGTTTTGCACCTCCAGTAGGTCCAGTCTCAACTCTAACCAACACAGCAACCCCCATTCCCAAAAGACTTACTGATCCATCTTAGAAATTTCTCGAGTGCATCACATTTTCCTTTCTGCAGACATTGAGACATCATCAGGATTTATATGATATAACAACCAAACTATTATTCATCCAGAGTAACTAAACATTCACAGTGCAGAAGATAAAAAAATATTTTAAAAATTAATTGTTTTGGCTGGATATTTTAGTGATATTTTACTGAAATCACTTATTTTTCATTTAAAAATCAATTCTTTGACATTAGAATTTGAAACATATCAATCAATTATAATTATCATCTAGAAAAGTAATTCAAATGAAATTTAAAATATTTCATGTCTATCTTTAAAAAATGAAATGAAGGGCAGGTCTACTGCTATTATAGAATCAGAAGGGAAAAAAGTCTCTTATCAACTGAGAATTCATCAGTATAAATATGCTACAATATTACAGAGTTCAGTATCTAAAGTCATATTTCTCTATTTTCCTGGAGTAAATGATAGCATTATTTTTTATTTGGGGAGGGGGGGAAGGAATGAGAGGGAACATAACCAAAATAAAGCATAAACCAAAACACCAACACTCATGTTACAGTAAAAAATATGAAAAAGAAAAGCACATTCAGCTTGAGTGCACCAACCTTAATTGTCTGCAGCTCAAATGGACAAAATGATGAAGGACTGTAAGGAAAAGGAAAATAAACTGATTGCCTAGGGGTATGTGATGCACCCTCTGATGGGTAACAGCAAGAGAACAGTACACATTCTCTCATAATTTACATATTCAGTAACCTGGTTTCCCCAATCTGTATCAGAGCTATTATGTTACTTAGTAGCCTTTTCAATTATGATATGGCCTTAATAAACAACCTGGGTGTATTCACCCCTCACTAAATTATAATCAACAGTTGATTCCAATTTTTCATTTGTTTTTCTCTCCCTGTATGACAAAGATCTCACATTTCATTAACTTGTATGGTTAATCACACTACTGTTAACTCCTATTGCCACAATCAGGGAAATATTCTTTTTATCCTTGACCTACAAGTCATGATCCAGTCTTGTGAAACAGTATTAAACTATTTTAAAAACATTTTTTTCAAATAGGCTGGTTCTGTCAGTCTGATGAGAATTTTGAGATTTCCTTTGGCAAACATGACTGTGTTAAAGAAGGCTGCTACACCAAGGTGCAGACTGCCTACCCACTGCTACCTCCTACTCGTGCTCCTTTGCCACGGCACATCCCACAATAAACACCTGCACCTCAGGTACATGGCTGCATGTGCCTTGTAGGAAACAGACATCAGCCAAGGAACCCAGCCCAGAGGAGCAAACACAAAGACAGCCCCAAGCTCTTAATCAGGTGAGACAAAGTGACCATAGGAAAATGTGCATATGAAATTTAATGAGGGCCAAATACACTCTGAAAAAAAGTTGTAAGTTCTGTTAAATATATTTTTGCTTATTTCACGAGTTAATATTTTTTTCACACAGAAGAAAAAAAAAATCTATATTACATATATTAGCATTTTTATGGGATTGAATTTCAGCTTTCCTGTACTTTATTGAGTGTTTCATGCCATACAAATTGCCATAGATCCTGAGCACCTGACTGATCAGACTCGCACCCTGCATGTCAGTGGTGTACAGCTGATGCACAGATGGTCACATTTGTTATAATGGACTCAAATGAACACCCACTTGTGAATCCATCACATACTACTCACTGACTCCTTGAAACCTAGCTGGTGGCAAAATTCCATTTAAAGTGTGGCGGCACAGTGTTTATCCTGGAATTGCTGAGATAGCTCAGAGGTTTGGGCTGGTTTTTGGTTCCAGTGATTATTATGAGCAAATGATTTACTGCACAACAGAGGGTTTCTCTACTCAGATTTTATTAAATAATTGCAAAGTGATTATTTGCAATTGCGAAGAGATGAGCCAGATCCCATTAGGTGCACACTGTTAGAGTTCTATGATATTTATTTATCCTGTGAATATATATTTTATATGTGAACTGTGTAGATTTGAACAACTAGCTGTCTGCTATATCAATCAGGGCATCACACACATACATCTAAGAGTGGAGTTATTTTAAATGCTGTTAATTTCAGGGAAATACATACCTTGCAGTCCCTTCTAAAAAACATTTTTCTAATGGAGTATTATGTTTGCAATAACTGCAGGATCAGGCTTAAATACTAACTCAGACTTTCAAACTAGATGAAAGAATGCAAAGAGGAGGCAGATAATAGGGTTTTTTTTAAAATATTCACACATACTTACTGCATTCCTCTCCAGAATTCATGGGTCATTATTCTTTGTAGCTCTTTTTTCTTCAGAGTAAGACTGAGGAATGAAGTCCACATTCTGAAATTACATACAAATATGTTAGAAAAATGGAGTGTTTGAAATCAATTCTAATGTTACATGCAAAGGACATTCTGGGCTCATTAAGTAAAAATATCTCATTTAATGAGCAGGAAAGCACTGGAGCACACTGAACCCTGACACAAAGCAAATTATTTAAGTGATAAATTATATTTTATGGGGAATGTAAAAGTTAATAATACTCAGGGGTAGGGTAATAAATGCAGAGGTGTAACTAACTTCATTGACTGCTTTACTTACAAACATGCCATATGTACCTGGTTACTTGAAATAGTAATAAAAGGAATTGGCAGAAACTCCAGGAACCGAAGATTCACACAGAGACCTTTGTAGCATTCTTTTCCACAGAGCAGCCTGTGTTTTATTCCTTTCAAACTCATTATTCTCCTCCCTCTTCCACTTCAGAATATATATGTCCGGTCTTTGCTTTTCACTTTTTGTCAAATATTTGATCTTGCAGTCATTAAAACTGAAACCTCCTTATCTGCCAGAGAGACTAATAAACACAGAGCTCATTTACCTGCAGTGATGCTCCAGAAGTGACGTGAAACTTTACTTGAAGAGACTCCATTTATGCTGAAGGAAAACAGTGGATCAACTTTTAATCCACTGCCCTTTTAGTGTGTGTAAGTGGCACTGAATCTCCTGATATTTTTTGTCCGCAGAGATCCATGCAACAGACCAAGTCACAAGGATATTGCTCCCAGGTACACCTCTGCCCTTTACCATGAATTTAACTGTCTGCATTAAAACCCCTTTTCTACATTTCAATGGTGTAAAGGAAATAATTCATACACTTCTAATAGAAATCAACAGAGGTGAAGTCTTCTCAACCACAACTATTTCCAGTGACTATTTCCTTAATTCTGAAATGGAATGTGCATTACCAACATGGTCCTTTATTTTCCAATTTTCTTTTCTCTTTATGTTTATAGGTCAGCAGGTAGTGCTTTATTCCCACTGGTTGTTACTCTGAATTGGTACAGTTTGCACATGAATGAGACATTCACACAGCATGAGTATCACTTTTGTCAGAGTCCTCTGGCAGATTGTTGAACAGAAACAATTAAATGGATTATGAAAGAATATAAAGTTTATTCACTATATATATTTCAATATAAAGTTTATTCACTGCATTGAAAATTACCCACTTACATGCAATTATTTTTTAGGAACAAGAGTTTACATTCAATTCAATTCTGCATTAAATCAACTTAACTTTAGCCTTCTTTTTAGTTTGCAGTCCTGTGATGGTGATCAGTGATCTAATATCACCATACAAGTGAGCTCCAGCCATGACTTTGAATCTGGAAAGTAAAAAAAAAAAAAAAAA